GGGTTTTTCGTGGCGCATGATAAAAGAAAAGATTCCATCGAGATGCGATAATGCGATAGTGATAAAATAATGGGTTTTTCACTGAAACAATTTTGATTTTTGTTTTCGTTATTTTTTATGTGTTTGAGTTAGTCTCAAGCGATGTTTAATTGAAATTTTCAATTTTCTTTTTATGTCGACTTATTATTGTAGGTACACTCGTGATGGGTCGATGGTCAAAAAAGCAATATTTTCATTTCATGAATGAAGAAAAAGGTTTACCTTCGTTTACCTTTTGAAATCCGTGAAATAGAATAAAAATCAACTCCTCTTCTCCTCCTTCATTCAGAAAATTACAGGAAAGAACGTCTCATTTCTTGATCTCTTCGCCAGAATTCCAAATTGATTTAGCAATAGTTAAAGGTGAAGAAAAATAGGTTAATCACAAACATGAAAATGATAATTTGATTTTGCATAATTTGCATTCCAATCCAAATCGAAATTTTAGATCGCCTGGAAATTAGGTTCAAAAAGTCACAAATTAGCTGCGAGTCGGACTTAAATGAGTCTATAAAGTTGGTAAACCCTTCGCAATGCATTCATTTTTCAATCATTGGGACACGAAACTGAGCTTTAGTTCAATTTCGAATTGCTATGCCTTTTGTTTCAGCGACGAATAACCGGGCAATTGTTGTGCGTGTGTACGAAATGCGAAACGTTTTGTATTGAGGTGAAAAGTACAAAACGCGATCGATTACCGATCACCTTACGCACAGTAATACACATTCGAAATTACATTGCATGCAGACCGCGGTGATGCCATTCATTTTGATGTGAGGTCGAAAGGGTTTTCGATTTCGATGTCTTTCATTGTTCCGTCTGATGTTATGAAATTTCGTCGCGTTGAACTGGCCAGGAGCCACAATATAACAAACCCGTCTAAAATGAGAAAATTTTATAATCAAATCGTTACTTTCAGAAATTAACTTTATGAGTTCGAAGAAACGATTGGAGTTTCCTAAGTGGAGCATTTATACATATCACAAAACTTGAACAATATTCAATTGTTCTGCATACCAATAGGTGCCAATAACACCAAACTATAGTAGCTATGTGTTCATTTGTGTATTGTACTATACACTAACGAAATGGTTCAACGGTTTATATCAAGGTGATAAATATGCATAAATTTTGTTCCAAAAATAATTTCGCATACAAAATGATTATACCGATTGAGAATCCATTGTGGTAGAATACTAAGCAAGAACTCAAAACCTTCGATAATAAATGCGTGTAAAATACGACGATTGACAGTCGATTTTGGTTATTTTTGCCAACTTTATAGATGAATAAAAATCTTCATTTGACAACATGTGCTTTAATTGTCTTCTGTTTCGCTTGATTTTCTATAAATTGTTCGTTGTCCTCGGGGCAATAAACACGCTGCAAGTACTTCTCAACTATTTGCCACAAAAAAATCATACGATTATGTTTGGATGTTACGTTGTTACGTTGTATCACTCACATTTTTCTCCAATTCAATTTTGGTGTTTGCTTGAAGTTTATGTAGTTCCCTGGAATATTTATTTTTCTTTTCGTTGGAGCTTAGCCAAATCCAAAAATTATTTTGAAAAACTTTCAACTTTAATTGTGATGAAACAATGTGTTGTAGTCAAATATAAGATTCCAGTTGGATAATAATTACACTTTGAATGGAACCAATAAAAATGCGCCGGCAAAAAATCGGTTCGAGACTGAATGCTTGTTTTAAACTAAACAAGTTAACAGCTTTCGTTTCAGATATTTCCCAATATTCGATATGTGCATTCATTAATCATTGTTCGTGTTCGTTTGATTAATTAGGTTGCAAGGCGATACAAATACAGTCAACCTTTTCGAACTGAGCCAAATGTGGGTATATTAAGTGAAAAAAAAAACACAGAACGCGTACATGTATTTATCGATTTACATTTGTGAAACATACTTTGGAAAACACCTTTTGAAGAGGAATAAAAAACATGACAAAACAGTCGGAATGATTCTGAATGTGTAATATGAAATTTGTTTCGGCCGTCATTCAATTTAGACAATATAATTACTGGGCACGAACAAAATGTGATAATTCAACGATCTCATAGCATTTGTTGACGCTGTTGCTTTACCCTCATTCACTTTTCGTTGTGTCGATAACTCAATCAGAACCATTCAAAAGTCATTAGGTTTCTTGAAATTGACGAGCAACAACAGCAACCAGAGAGAAAAATACACGGTGATTGTGAAGAACTGACACAAATCATTAATTTTATTAAATTAATGAAGAATTTGAACCAATTTGAAATGATTTTCTTCTTCATCCCGAATAAGTAACCGGGAACGTGCTTATGATTAACAATGATTCACTCACAGCATGCGTTTAACGGTTCAGTTTTTTTTCGAAATTATCAGGTGTTCTGGTACTATCCATCGACATTTTCGACTTGTCCCATTGATGAAGAAAACATTCTCTTGACCAGAAGAATATTCTTTCTCTTTGCTTTTGTTCAAATGCTTCTAGCGAACTCAACATTAGGAGAGAACTCAACCCATACGGACTCTATTGCCTTGAATTAATCCAATGTGATCAAGAAGCCAATAGCATAGCAAAAGGCCATATCGTGCTGTGCAAATGGTGGAATAGCGACCAAAGCGAATCGCGACCGATTCGAAAGACGATGATTTCATTCTAATTATAGGTCATCAGCAGTACGTTCGTTTTCAACAAATAATCAACACTAAACAAATAGTAACGCCTGTTCATTTCATTTGATGCCTAAACGTATCCAATTTTCCAAACATCTCTATTAAAAACAAATCAAAACCAAACGGTCAAAGCCAACTCATGCGCATGAAACTATCAATAGAGAACAAAAAAAAAGCATGAAAACATTCCGACTTTTTTCTGACCATTTAATAAAATATAACATTGTTTTTCCTGAATTAATCGATGCATTTCTTCATGGATGATGAAATGTTCACCATTAAAAATGCGAATGCATCGATGCGAGACAGATAAAATATTATTGGTACACAGGGATTTTTTGCGACGATATGCCGTGTAACTCAATTCAAATTACGCAGCGATTTTACACGATGCATTTTCCAGCGCGTTGGAAACTCATCAATTTCATCATCGCTCTTTTTTTCAATCGTTAAAATTTGTGAAATAATTTTTCCACTGAACCTTTTTTTTGTATGGACTTTTCAATATTTTCAGCACAATGCGTTCACATAGCCATACTCACATACACACATACAAAAAAAGAGTGTCAGTTTTCTGCTCATTTATTTGTTTTTATCTTTTCACTTGAAATTATCACCGGTGCCGATGCAATGCAATGGAATCGAAGCATTTTTTCCCCATTGGCTACTCTCTTTTTTCATCCATTATTTTAAATTACGACCAATGAATTTGCACATTTTCAAATATTCCATCAACCGAATGCAAATAAAGAACTGATTCTACGAATCCCCTACGCCGAGCAAATAGTTTAATCAAATTGTTGACAGGATCAAAATATGTAGCACACGTGTCGCTGTGTCACCAAACATCATTAAAGTGAACCATTCGCAAATGAAAAATCGGAGTGGAATACTTCAAACACCACTTGAACGACGAGCGTATGTGTTTGTTGCGACGGGCTTTATTTATATAATTAAGAAGAGGGATCAATGTGTCAACGCATCAAAAGGTAGTATAACATACCCGAATGACTCGAGTATCAACGCTTAATTAAACACACGTCGACCGAATCAAGAGAAAGAAGCGAATTTCGATGAATGTTTTTATAATTAAAAATAAATAAGTAAACAACTGTAAATAAATAAACGGGGAAAAACGGTGGAATTCGGCGATAAGAAGTTTATGTAATACATATCATTAATGTGTGATACACAATGAATACCAAATACTATCTGACGCGCTTAGCTAAATTTAGACTTCACAGCCATGACATTCAAATTGGTTTCATTTACAATGGAACAGCGACAGCAAACAAACTGATTACAATTTAATATCAAAGCAAAGGAAAATCGACTGAACCCAAATCGAAATTCTTGGTAAAATATATCGCTGTCGATTGAAACGAAAGCAAAAGGACACGCAAAGGACGCATTGAAATTGAAAGGGCATACATTTTTCATGGGTAGAATTTTAATTAGACGAATTCAACCTTTTCCATCAAACCTTGTGCTCAATTTGGAAACTGTTTATCGAACGCTTTGACAAATCTCGAACGGTTCCTGGAATTAAAATGACAAACGCTTGGTTTTGATGCACTTCAAAGGTTGATTTATTGAACGCATCAAAACCACCTAGTGGAAAAGTACTGCATATATCAGCGAGCAAAATGACTGGAAACACTGGGTTACAGTTACTTGCAGTATGAATTATTATGCAAATGAAATTCATTTACTTGCACTTTTTTCGCACAGCAAATGACAATTATTGACAAATGGTTTTGATATTCCACTTGGTTGTGAAGCGTCACTTTTATCATATGACGTATGAAACATCGAAGTTAAATCGTTTATGAGCACACAGCCAGCAATGAGTGAGAACGGCATTCGTTTATTACAGAACCCTATGATATCTACATGATGATAATATCGTACGTGAGTGAAATTTTTTGCGAAAAGAAGTTTGGCAGACAAAAAAAAGTGCATACAATTCTTCCTTCATCGAATTCAATGTCATTTCACCTTTTTTTTTCCTGCATCACTATTTATGTCTCTGTTCTGTTCAATGACCATGACATTTTTCTGCATGTGATCAATGCATTTTAATTGCTTATAGGTTTTTTGACGCCGTCACTTGTTTCGTTCAATTTCGTTTTGATGTGATTTGTATTCTCATTCGGCTAATAAATCGCTTAGATAAAATTCGCGTTATGCATATATGCATAAACACCGTGATAAGAAAATTCGCGTTTTTTTGCTTTTTTTACAATATCAAGGCTAATGAATCGGTTTAGTAGGCGGTCGTGCATCCAAATGAACAGTATAAATACTGTGGTGGAACATCAATTCGAAAAAACTGAGCAATTAGCTCAAATAAACAGTTCTGAACTAGAATATATTGACAAACCCGTAATTTTACAACCGCACAGAATCTCTTTGACACCGATTCAAACAAAAATCTAAGCCGATTCCCACAGATTTAATTTGAACACTGCATAAAACGTAACGCGATGCATTTAGTTGGTTTAGTAATTTTACTGTTTGCTTGGGTGCATGCTGAATCGAATGGTGAGTGTGGAAAATAAGTAAAAGTGTGATTATTTTGAGAAAGATTTGAGTGATTTTCAGAAAAATGCATAATTTTGAGTTTTTTCCGAAAAACTGATTACAAATGATTGAACTAGATACAGACTTATGCATTACATATTTATGTACTCCATAAGCTGGACAAGCAAAATTGTTGTCTCAAATTTATTAAAATAAGTCTCGATTTTTAAAGACCTTCCCCATATAGATCCAAGAGTCGTTGGTGGTAAAATAGAAGATGCACCAAAAAAAGAAACACGAATCGTAGGTGGGGAGACAGCGCCACGTCCATATCCATATCAAATTTCGTTGCAAGTGAAGGTTCCCGTTTATATCGCATTCTTTCCAACTGGTCGTACTGAATTCACGCACAACTGTGGTGGTGCTATCGTGACCAAGAACTGTGTTCTGACTGCAGCGCATTGTGTAGTTGACTATAAACCCGAAGATTTGTCGATTTTGGCCGGTACAAATAAGTTAAGAGGCGGTGGTGGTCAACGATTTTACGTACGAGAGATCAAAGTGCATCCCAACTATCAAGAGCTGGTAACGAGTGACATCGCTGTTATGAAAATCAATACAACTTTTGAATATGGGGACAAAATTCAACCAATCAAATATTCGGGCAACGCAATTGATGGTGGCGAAAATTGTACACTTACTGGCTGGGGTTATACCAATCCATTCCGTGTTGGTTTTCCGCCAAATGATTTGCAACGAGCATTTTTACCAACAATCACAAATGATAAGTGTCGTGAAGATGGCATGAATGTTACCAACACTGAAATTTGCACTTATTCACGTTTTTTGCAAGGAGCTTGCGGTGGCGACTCTGGTTTGACTCCTTGATTTCATTTTTAAAATATGAAAATACGAATATAATTTCATGGTTTAATTGAATGTTTTAGGCGGTCCTCTCACGATCGGCGATGGTCAAGAAGTTGTTGGCGTAGTGTCATATGGTACAGCCATTTGTGCAATGGGTAGGCCCGATGTTTATACACGAGTTTCAGAGTTTGAATCATGGATCACTGAGAATTGTGCCGACTAAAGGCGATTTTACCAGAGTTTTTCAAAGAGTTACACATGTCTACAATTGTTGATGTGATCAATTAACAAACCAAGAAGAAATTGATCACAAAATGAATAAAAATCTTACAATTGATAAATTTAACATGAGTTTGTATTCACACCAATCAAAATTGTCACCGTGAAAATCAGTGGATTCAAAATGAATTTGTTTCTTCAGCAAATATTGAAATTCTGACGTCGAAAAGTCTCTATAATCTCGTTGGTGTTTCTATTTATTCCAATTGACACAAGATTCTCACGCGTTGCATTCGAAAAAAAACAACAAACATGTCAGACGAACGACAGCACAGTAAATCATGGGATATGACAAGCGAAAAACCACAAATTCCCCTTCAAAACACGTGAAAACTGTGTAATATTTGTTTACTTTGGGTTTTAGTCAATCGCTTCGGCTACTCATACACACATTGACATTTAAATCAATATCGTTGACTCAATAGCACCCTCGCATGAACCAAACCGAACATTTTTCGAATTCCTTGTACGCGCATTTCATTCTCCATTTAAACACATTTTAATGCTTCCTTTGAATCGTAAACCAAATGATGAGAAAATGTGTCAAATCACTTGAAAACTAGTCGCTGGTTCCTGACAACAAGCGCTTTCGGGAGATTTTCTCATGATACATAACATATGAATCAGTTTCTACGATTCGTAAGTGCGTTTTTTGTGATCAAATCTCCCAAAATTCTTTAATCTTTAAATTCTATTCTTGAGCAACAGAACGAAAAAATTGAAGCGGCAAAAAAAGTTTCACTAAAAATAATCTTTGGGCTTAGCTAGGGAAAATAGTTCAATGGCCCAAAGTCACGAAATAGAAAAAAAAACGAACAAAAAATGACACTTTGGCATATTTCTAGCAGAAAAATTCATTATTCTAAAGAACAAATGCCCATTTGAATGACTATTTGTTTGAAAACAAAATTCCTTCGGCTAATTTCGTATTTGACATTTTATGCATGTATCTTAATCACCATGGCATGTATCTTAATCATATAAATAAATAGTTTTCAATAAACAGCAAATGTTTTTCAAATGCAGTTTTTGTCGAAAACCGTGTATATCAGATACTCTATCGCTTAAATGAAACCACTGAAAATTAACTGTACTCCCAATAATCGTTTGTTGTATTTTATTTCTTAGCGTTAGCTCTTTTGGTTACATTTATCACGAACATTGATATGAATTTGATCAGCAGTTTGAAATCACCGAAAATAATGTGTGAAATTTTCTAAATTCGAAAACTGACTAGCAACCCAAGCACTTAACATTACTATTTATAAACAATCTATCGAGAATTTGAATCAGTTTCAATTTCAATGAATTCAATGTAAAAATCGGACAAACTAATCATAGTTGTGTCCTTTAGTCAAGAACGCAATACAAGCGGGAGGTATTTGCTAGAGAAAATTGATTGGGCAATTTGGCCTTTCATATCACAAATCAATCGCGGAATTCTGACCTCGGCCTTGTGTTCGTTTCCGATACCTTTTTCTAAATTCTCAATCGAATATAGTTTCATAATGGTTTCCGAATGCATTATCAATTGATAAGTTTTTAAATGCCTTCATATGTGCAATCGTACGGTATTATTTGGCTTGAAAAACTTATCCGACAATATCCACTTTATGCATAAGCACCATGATAAGAACGGTTATTGGGCGTATTGTACATTTATCAAGGTTTGGACACACTCAGTTAAAGCGCCTTAAAACAGGTAATGCATTTGGTATATATACGGATTACAATCAATTCAAAATGTATAGTGAATATTTAGCTGAAACATCCGGAGAGCACAGTTTAACTTGGAAATCAATTAAAATCAAAGCGATCGTTTCACATTTTGTTTAATTTTTTGGCTCGAAAAAATGATCCAGTTCAAAATAGTGAAATTACTTATTGCAATTAATCTTCTCCTCATTAGCTTGATTCAAGCTGAACAGAACCGTGAGTAAAGTTGAATAAAACCCCGTTTTTTTAAAGATTATTTTTCGGATTTTTTTCGATGAAATTTCTCTACTTTTTTTTTAAATTCAGAAAATGAAACAAGAATTGTTGGTGGTAGAAAATCACCACGATCATATCCGTACCAAATTTCGTTGCAAGTAAAAGCGCCCGTCTACATTGGATTCCTTCCGACTGGACGCTACCAACATAGGCACATTTGTGGCGGTTCAATTATCTCAGAAAAATGCATCCTAACGGCTGCTCACTGTGTGGCGCATTCGAAACCGGAGCGTTTATCAATTTTGGCTGGCACAAATAAGTTGAAGGGCGGTAAAGGAAAACGTTATTTTGTACGAGACATTAAGGTGCATCCAAATTACAGGCCACTGGTTTCGAGTGATATTGCAGTACTGAAAATAAACAGCACTTTTAAATTTGGACCGTTAATTGCACCGATTAAATATTCGAATAAGACGATTGGTGGCGGCGAAAATTGTACACTAACGGGATGGGGATATACTAATGGATTCAGGTATTTATTCTCGATTCTTTTTTCTCTAATTTAATTGAACACAGTAATTTTGTCAGTAGAATTTTTAGGCTTACCATTAATTGATATGGATTATTTTTTATCAACACATTTACAATTCAAACGATTTTATTCAGAGTTGGTCGTCCACCAAATGATTTGCAACGTCTTTTTACGCCAACGCTTACGAATGAAAAATGCCGGGACGAAGGATTTCGAGTTTCAAGGACGGAAATTTGCACGTATTCATTCTTTTTCCGAGGTGCTTGCAATGTAAGTGTGAAACACTTAAACCAAAATGTTATTTTTTCAACTCAATTTTTTAGCTTTGAATGTGATTTCATGCCTTTAATTGCACGTTATAGGGTGATAGTGGTGGTCCTTTGACTATTGGAGATGGCAAAGAATTGGTTGGAATCGTGTCCTATGGAACTTATCCTTGTGCTATTGGGAAACCAGATGCTTTTACACGTGTTTCAGTGTTCAACGACTGGATAACGGAAAATTGTGCCGATTAACTGCTACTACTCAGTTATAAATTCTTTGCCAGTTTCACTAAAATAACGTTGTTATAAATCGAAATGAACTTATTGACATGTAATAAATTGAAATAAACATTGAAATTCTGAAATATATATGTTGCTTCTTGTTTGTAAACACCAACGTCCAATTCATTTTCCTTGTTGTCTAATTCCGCCTCGCGTCACCATAGCGATGACTGTTTATTCAATACGTATAATTCAATTTATGTTGAAATTCAGTTCGAAAGTTAAATGGTGCGACAAGTAAAAGCGAAAAAATGTCGAGTACGCCCGATAGCCAGTATGTTTATTACAAACAGCGTCGTGAATTTGGTCAACAATTTAGCTTTGGTGAAAAAGAAGAGCTGTTGGTATCGATTCCACCCGATGAGGAGATTGCACGGCAGTACAAACCGCGTGACCCAGTTTCGCGTGGAACTCAATTCGCCAAGCAAATGAGTTGCAGTGAAGTGAACACCGAACGAGCAACGTATGAAACGCACGGCATCAATCACACTGAAGGCGGTTGGCCAAAAGATATTTGCCTTTCGGATCCAGAGCAAACCACACGCTACCGACGAAAAATCGAAAAAGACGAATTGTTCATTTCAGAAGTCATGAATCTAACTAAGCCGATGGAACATTGCATTTTTCAAAATAACGCCATCAATATCTATGAAACTTTCTTTGAGAACTGTGAACCGGCTCCGCTGCTTGAACCATGTTCGTCTCGAACACTCAACGTCTATCGCGATCCGTGCAACCCGAAACGTCCCGTCACACATTTGTCATGGTCTCCAGATGGTGGTACCAAACTTGCAGTCTCCCATTGTGATACCACTTTTCAAACCGATGCAAACGATGTGGCTTGCGATTCATTCATCTGGGAAGTTGGTTAGTGCCGCAAATTTGAATTAAATATTAATGGATAAATTCATTCAACTCAAATTTGAGCCATCAAATGTGATTGATTTGATGCTTCTTGTTTCAGAAAATCCAAACACTCCGCTGTTGAATTTGAAACCAACCAGTTCGATTATATGCTTAGAATACAATCCAAAAGATCCAGCCACTTTGGTGAGTGGTTTTCTATCTGGTCAAGTTGGCGCTTGGGATACACGAGTCGACAAGAGTTTGGTTGCAATTAGCGAAAGAGAAGTGTGCCATCAAGAAGCTGTCAATTCGGTGTTGTGGATAAATTCGAAAACTGGAACGGAATTTTTCTCAGGATCATTCGATGGACGGATCATTTGGTGAGCAATCGTGATTGTTGGAGTCGAAAATTAATATAATTTAACTATTAATATAGTTGATTGCTAAAGAAGTGGAATTTAATATTCATTTTTGATGCAACTGAACAATTTTTACTCATTTCAATCAAATAAAAAAAGGGATTTTTACTCACTTCTCTAAAATTTTAGGTGGGATACCCGAAAATTGAATGAACCATTGGAGAAACTGCTAATTGATCCGGTAAAAACGGATGATCAAGACATTTCGCGGTCGTACGGTGTTACAGTTTTAGAATATGAAACCACAATGCCCACCAAATTCATGTGCGGTACAGATGTTGGCACGGTTTTCGTATGCAATCGCAAAGGGAAATCGCCAATAGAGAAAATTAACTTTAGGGTTCGTTTGAACATACTTTTTACATACATTGCAAATAGCGAACGAAACTTGAGTAACATGTGATTTTCACTCTAAATTCTTTTTATCTCAGATAAATACCCACCTTGGACCGGTTTGTTCGATTGCGCGAAATCCGAGTTTTCTAAAGAATTTCCTGACAGTAGGTGATTGGACGGCTCGAATATGGTCTGAAGACTGTCGTGAAAGTTCAATTATATGGACAAAACACCAATCCGTTCTATTAACTGACGGCATTTGGAGCCCAACTAAGTATGCTATTGATTTCTCCTATTTTCATTCATCAAAGTGTGACTTTGTGTGTGTTCTGTAGGTGTTCTATGTTCTACATTAGTCGAATGGATGGTGTTCTCGACGCTTGGGATTTACTACAACAGCACAACGACCCAGTATTAAGCATCAAAGTATGTGATGAGCCATTGCTATGCATGAGAGCACATGAAAGTGGCCGATTCATTGCAAGTGGCAGTAAAAATGGAGCAACTTTCCTAATCGAAGTATCCGATAACATGACGACGAGTCTAAAGAACGACAAATCACTACTGACGGCAATGTTTGAGCGAGAAAATAAGAGAGAAAAGATTTTGGAGGCAAAATCTAGAGAAATAAAACTTAAAGTAAAAACTGCCCAAGTTGCTCACGATGAGTCCAATGGTGAATCCAAACTGAACAAAGCCAATGCGATTGAAGCAGCATGTAAACAGGCTGAAGAAGAATTTTTGGCGAACGTGCAAAAGGCGAAGGAAAAATTGTGCCCAAGTAGAATAAAGAATAAAGAAAACGGCGGGAAGAAGGCAGCCGATGGCGATGAAAGTTTTTTAGAGGGAGATTTACCTGAGTCGGATTGAAATCGATTGATAGACATAATTCACTGTGCATGATTAAATATTAAGAAGAAAAATCAACATTTCTGTGGAAATGTGTACAATATGGAATTCCAAAATATACCTAATAGCTTTAGTTGATTTGAAAGTAACTGGTCTTTCTGTTCAGTTGTTTCGCTTTGAAACGCATTTCGTTGGACACTCGAATATTCACATGGTGTCAATCACACCAAAGGACTGATTTCAGTAGAAATTGTTATCAGAACTTATTCGAATCGATTGGCAAACAACTCAACGCTAGATTTGTTGTAGGTAATTTTCAAATCAGAAGAAAGTAAGAAAATAAATATTTCCAGCGATGCCAATACTTTCCCATATTCCGATTTCCCCAAGCAAAGATGCGACACAAAATAATTTTTCATACAAAAATTCACTCTGAGTGTAGCATTTATGGCCGTATTTTTTTAGTATCATTAAAGAGATAAACACATCTGGTTTCTGGACCACAGCTGCTAATAAGAGACTTTTGTTGCGTCGGCTTTAAGTATGAATTTCAAGTCATCTCATGTCGATGCCATAATTTACCCTCGGTGTTGCATTAGAACGGCCATAAATTCAAGCGTTTTTACTACTTTACGACGAGTATTTTGCATAAATTATGCGCGCGACTTTTTATCACTACAAATTGAAAGCCAGTGCAGAATATGTCTTTGAAATTTATTTGGTGGTTGAGGGAATTGATTCTCTGTCATTATCAATGCAAAACACCACAAAAACAGAGCATCGGTGGCTCCAGTCAATGGATGCGATTTTAATGACTCTCTCTCTCGTTGAAAATGGATTTTCAACAAAAGTTACCAAGTTCATGCATTTTTAATAATTTTTTCCAGTTTCGCCGGAGATTATAATGAATTAACAATGATGGTTTTTGGTTGTCAAAGTTTAATTATGTGTCGGGTGCGGACGGTTCCGCTGAAAGTGGCAAATGTATTAAATATTAGCGGAAACAATAGAATGTAGTACGCTTCCCCAATTGTGTGTGGCTCGCGGTAGTGACAAAGTGGAAAGATTACTGTCTTCTATGCACTTTGCTTACGTTCGCTTAATTTTTTTACAGTCCATTTCGATGACACTTTTTTATCAGCAGCACCAACCACAAGTCATTAACGTTAGGTTGACTTTTCACAAGAACCAACCATAGCGAGGGTACATAAATTACGAGCCGGGAAAATATTTATTTATATACATTTCAATTTGTTGTTAACGTTCCCAATTTTTGCGAGAGGTGAATGACTTTCACATCGATTTTGGGCTGAATTTTGTTTACGTCTTATGTCATATGCCGTCGTTGAGAACAAATTGGTTTTAAATTTAAGATTCGGTTTGAATTCTCTGAATGTGGTCTATATTAGCTCAGCAAGGAAGTTAACTGTATCTTTGTGGCATTTCTTACAGTAAAATGAGATATTATTGATTTTCAGTCAAAAAGTCCATTCTAGCGCATCTTCAAAGTAGAGACAAACTCATAAATTCCACAAAGTTGCGTCTTCAAAGAATTCTTTCAACTGCATTCCATCCCATAGCAAACAACACAAAAATCGGCATACGAAGCAAAAAAAAAATCAATCAGTGACCAAACGAAGCGCAACGAATGTTCGAAAATTCCACTTTGAAATTATCTCGTTTTGAAAGGTGTTTGCAAATCATCTCCTCCTCGAGCACTCGCATGCAATACTGGATTCTGCTGTTGAGCGTGTTCGTGCGTGTAGTCACTCAATTTGTGTGTGACTGATTCATAAAATGGTCCATAATTCGATCCTATATTTTTCGTTAAAATATTGCAGAGCATTTGAATGTTGCCGAGCATATTTTGCATGTAGTCAATTACACGCCTTGTTTTCACACTAAAATATGCACGCAACGAAAATGGTTTATTGGTAATAACCACTTTGCATATACAATAATTTTCAACACCTTTCTCGCGCGTCATGAAAGTGTTGTTGTGCGCGAGAAAAATTCTCATCATCATAAAGTTGATCGTAATTGCTGATCTACATAACAAGTTAATAATAGCCTTTTATCGGATGACTTAACAAGAGCACGGACAAAATTGCCATTCGAAAAAAATTCGCTTGAATTTGAAATGTCTTTCGATTTTTTGCTAATAAGACACGTTCACAATGTAGCACAAAGTTGTTGGCAAATCAGCTGATTCGCTACAGTTATGCGGAAAGGAGAGAATCTGTTTCTGTTGCGTGATGAATTTTCAGCATGAAATAAGAATTACTATTGATTATCGCAACATGAACAAAGACTTGGTTTTGATTCCATTCCCCGTTTCATTTTGCGAGAACAACGCGAGATCTTTTATTGTCTGCATTTTTTGCGCAGCTCTAATTCCAAGCTCTTTATCTCTTCGAATGAAGTGGTTTTACATTAAATTCTTGAACAAGTACAACAGTTTCGCTGCATCGTGCTTTTCTCTAATTCACAGCTCAACTGGGATAGACGCGCTGTAATCATAATGCCTTTTTGTTTGAGGTATCTTTTGTATTTGGAATATGCTCCAATTTGGCGAGCAACAAGAAAGCGCTAAAAAAGTAATTTTGTCAACTCTTCAACAAAAGAGATAAACAAAAGAATGGGAACGAACAAGTTGATTCTACTCGAATGCGTACTATTTTACGTACCGCAATTCAGCTATTGTCATTGCTCAATCGTTCGACATACGGGGAAATGTTGGCAAGTAAATACGATATGCCGAATGCGGTTTGCCAAATGGAACTCTCTCAATGTGTACATTTTCCCAACAAATTGAGGGTGTTTACGCTTTTTTCGTCCTGCTTCTTTTCAACACATTTACTAATCGGGACAATAGTACTTGTGAAACGAGACGATAGAATATGCGAAAAGAAGGTCGCAACCAAAGTAATAATTAATCGAGCTGAATGAATAGCCGGGAATTGATGAGAAAATTCTAGATAGCAGAGAGTTATCCGCAGAAGATGTTATACATTATTTTGATGCGTATTTGTGAATTTATCTACTCCAACTTCTAGGTGGCTATACTAAGGTAGGGAATTTTCTTTCAAATATCACAATTTTTCACTCACATTCGTCTGAGAGATGCGCATTTTGTTTGGAGATGATGAATTAGTTACGAAAAAATGATATTTTACGTCATATGTTAAATCCGAATGGAGGCGTAATTGGTTTCTAGCAACAGAATTTTTTAATTGCAAGCACATTTAAAATGTGTAGTTCAATAATATTGCAAAAACTTGGAATGATTCAATATTTTGTTCTCAAAAACTCAGTCGGCTTTGAATTTTGATGTCAAAACGTGTCTATTCATACAGTTTCTGCTAATTCGCATAGGAAGCTTTAAATTCATTTGCAATTTTTTCTTCAACTACTTCGGACAGAAATAAAAAATCGGCATTGTTCTTCACATAAATATATTGACGGTCAAGATAGTCATTATTGTGCAAATTTGCATTGGGTATAAATAGGAGCGACAGTTAAAAGAAGCCAGTTAATAAGAGAGTCTTTCGAATTGATCCGTCCAGTTGAAGCTAGAGTTGAAGTAACTTCAAACGAAATATATTTCGTTACGAACGTCCATTTCAGTTAAACTTGGTCAAAGATCCAGTTGAATTTGTTTGAATAAAACAGTTTTCTAGTAGACAAATTCTGGTGGCTTTCTCTTAACAAGATGAAGGCCAACATTTTAACATTACTATTCATTTTGAGTTATTCTGGCGTGGTTTTCAGTGCATGTTCGGTGAGTTTTAATTCAAGGTAAGAATTTGTGCAAAGATATTTGATTTTGGTATTTCTGATTTAGGATCGATTTGCTCTTGAGTGTTTATACGACGTTTTATTTGGCGATTATGACTCTTCCGAAGAGGAATCAGTTGAACAGAAACCTAGTGAGTTACTGATTGAGAATTAATTGTAATTCTTGAAAACATAAAGTCCAAATGAGAAATTGAACCATTTTGGTGCCCATTTTTGTGCATTTGCAGCCAATCTCAACCATTCAGCAAGGGATTTATCGTCAGTTATTCACAATACCGAAGAAAAACTAGAAGAAATTCCAAAGATTCTCGGATGTGAGTATTTTCTACCACAAATAACTAAAATTTGGATTTTTTAAAACCAAATTGTGATTTTTTTTTCAATTTTTATTTTCAATGGTTGCTTTGATGAAAAATAACCATTTCACAGATTTAAAAAATTTGACGCACACTGTGACGCATGTTCAACACGAATTGATTGGACCTAGATTACCTTCCCATTTGCCGAATAGCATTGAAAAAGAAGAAGACAAAAGCAAAGAATCACATGAGAAGGAAGATTCATCGTCGCAAAGTTCAGAAGAAAAGACCACGAAAGGCGACAAAAAGAACGTACACTTTAGAGATGTTTACAAGGAATTGGCATCGGATTTAAGTGAAATTCCACGACTTGTTTCAAGTAATAAATAGAAATTACTTTTCTCACGATTTGAGCAATCATTAATTTGCCTTCATCATACGTACATTTTTCATAGATGTCTCGAAACTAACCAAAATGGTGAAGTCCGTTGTCCAAAAATTAGCGAATAATCCCGCTCCAAAGATAGTAGGGGAAGGAAAATTGGAAGAGAATAAAGAAGCTTCGAAGCAATCCGACGTTAAAGATGAAAAAACACCAGAAACTGGGGAGAAGAATGATGAAAAAACACCAGAAACTGGGGAGAAGAATGATGAAAAAACACCAGAAACGAAATAAAGCAATAGAATTAAAGTATTGATACAATTGACGAACATAAAATTAGTAAAAACGTTTGAAATCCCCTTACTTATAGTCGCAGGGAATAAAGATGACCATGAATCCAACCCTCCCGAAATATCCAACAATAATATTCATCGTTCTACGTTTTTTTCTTAGTGTAACGATATAGTTTATTTCAAGAATATTGAAGTGTTGTTAAAAGTTAAAATACATTCAATAAATATATTGAGCTAGATTTTGTTTGGTTGAAAATTATCTAAAATTGTGTTTAAATAAATTAGTTTTTAACGAATGATCTGCATGGAAGCTGATGCTACGGCCAATTATTCGATGTCAGCGTGTTAATTGTTTGGAATACCAGTCCGTTTCCTTCTGGTTTATGTGTTGATGGGAATAGGAAATGTCTCCAGAACGTTCTAAGAAGATATGGAAAAAGTTCACACCCGAACCAATTAAATACAAAGATTTGATTGTTTGTGACTGATTTACCTGCCGTTGACTAAGCCTAAAAATAATTGAAAGTTTTTCTTTGGTCCAAAATTGTACGGATTTTGATAGGGCTTCCCATTGGCCGCTAGCTTCTTCGTTTCTTTGGCATTGATGTGCGCTTCAATACTGGTTTCTCCGCGGTAAATGAGCTTCGCATGCCACATTGTTAGCAAACCCAATGCAATCACCACAGCTGAAACGTAAAATGAAGATTTTCGTTCAACAAAAAGGAAATGACAAATGGGTTAGTACTTTCAAAAGGATGAAAAGTTTTATTTCATCCAAAATAGATTTCACTTCATCCTTAAATACTCACCGACATTGATAAAAGCCATAAACGTCAGCGATCGACGCATAAAAATACGGTATAGATTCGCTTCACTCTGTTCAAAAGCCTCATTTGTTGTTTCGATGTCACGGTACTCATTCATTTCGCTCTGTTGAAATAAAATGAACAGTATAGTCTATGGTGATTCGAAACGAAAAAATGGATCTGTAACTAAGCAACTCATCAGTTGATAGATCTTACAATCGGAACAATGTGACCCGTCAAGTTGTATGTTATTGGATGCCCTTCAAGTGGTTCTGTTTCACTCCATTCTTCATCGTCCGCCAGCCACAGAACATTATACGCTATTTCAACACCAAACATAATAAGGAATAGAGATCCGATAACAGTGTACAGCATGTACGTGAAAAAATATCGATGATTTGCGTATCCAACACAATTGTTCAACCAGGCTGTAAAAAGACAAAGCAAAGAATTTTGGTATTAATATTAAACATTTTAGCTTCCGAAATAGAATCGATTTGTGTGACTAACGGCAGTGATGGTCCATTTTTAAAATGCATCTATTGCAAATGCTGCAATGGTGAGTTCGTGTCGGTTTTGGCGTTAAGCATTTTTTACATATACTGACTGCTTCATACAGTTGCTTCTGCAGAGATGAAAAATGGGATAATTTTAATTATTGATTGATATTACTCATCTTTGATCCGATAAATGCAGAGCCATTTTACTCCAAAATCCCATAAATCCGATGGAAAAAAAATATTCTTATCTCGAACATATCCCTATCTCCTAACTCAGCGTTGAGTATGAAACACTTACGTCGGGTGGATAGCCGGGAGATGTGAACACAGCCATAAAATAATGGAATGTGACATTAATAAGTAGCCAATAGCCGAATATCACGAGAAATATCGTCATTGCTGGGCTCTTTTCCCACCAATACGGTAACCCAACCAAATGGGCAATCACAACGACAGCCGATGTCAACACAGCAACAGCAACAACAAAAAACTGAAATAACACAGTCAATATTAGTACGAATCGAATATTATTAGTGGGTATTTACCGGTCCTAGAAATCCGGAGAAATTATCAACAATCCAAATAATAGGTTCAAGTGCTACATCCGAAGCATAATCCTGGCTCATGTGATGATTATAAGTGAATGACCGAAAACAAATCTTGAAGTAATGACATTTTGCTAAGAAACTATCACTGCAAACGAAAAGAACTAATGAAAATCAATTGAACTTCATACAACCAATTGAATGGGGACGCTTACAATATTTCCACTGGTATTTGTTTGATTTTCCACCGTATTTTGACCATTTTGATTGTAAATTTCTAATTCTATAAATCATTTGTTGGATATTTTGTTCATTGCTTTTGGCAGCAGGACTGTTTTGTTTACTACAGAAAAAATTGTGTACGCATTAACCAACTTCACTTCGTTTCAGCCGCAACCATGTGAATGACAAATTGTTGCACATACTTGACTACCGTTAGGTGTTGTTTCTAATTTGAAATTATGGAACAGTGGAGAACTAATCGAAGTTTACACTGAAAATTCAAATTAATTAGATGACAAATCTTTATGTTAACAACTTTCTCAATTCTTTTTACTATCAATTCAAATCGAAAAAAAAAACTATTTGTGTTGTTCGTGTGACTGTGTCCAACTTCGTTGTTATTGAAATGTCAAGTGTTCATTCCAAAACATAGACATCTGACACATTATGCGAATAAGAAGGTAAAACAAAAACATTGCACTTTTTGTTCATGGCGAACCTTTTTCTTTTTCCAAATTTGAAAATCGTTTAAAAAGAATTTAAAATTTTCTGTAAAATTGCTCAAATTATAAAGTTCTTCTTCCATTGATTGAAAAGTGAAGACCAGCTAAAAATGGACTTGACATCAGGCGAAAGTAGCGATGGTAAAAATCTAGATAAAAAAAGTTGAGACAGAATAAAATGCGTCTCAATCTGTCCACTTCTTTCAGACTCTAGCATGGAGCTTATACCATCAAGTACCGATGATGTTGCGTCAAACTTTGATGGTGATGCTGATATTGCGGCTTTTGACACGGATTTACCGGCCGAACACAATGTAAGCAACGTTTTTTTTCCAATTACTGTGATAAATTATTGAAGGAAGTGTGATATTTCAGTATTTAGGAGAATTGGAGCGAGTGTCAGGTGTTCAGTATCTGGAACCAAACAAAACGTATACCCTACCGATTATAGTTCACAATTCACTTGTTTTCCCAGGCGAAACTTTGCCTATGATTTTATCGCCACATATGTTTCTGCCGGCCGATAACAATGACGATGGAGCACTGTTTGGTTTAGTGTTCCGTAAGCTAAGGAATAACCACAATTTCAATTTGTATGGCGTAACGTGTTTAATCTACGAAAAAGGCACCGATGACCGCGAATATTTAAACATCAAATCAAGGGCTTATCAACGATTTGTCATCAAAAATAATGAGTATAACCGCAATTTTTTTCTCATGTCCAATCAAAATTCTTAAATTTTAACCGTTTCCAGAGCCAGCCCCGAGTTTGCCATCCGAAATCGAACGAGGTACGCTACGGTAACAATTCTACCCGAAATTGAACTGTGCCATCCGGTTTATGGCCACGATTCGAATAGCCTGTCGAAATTTCGGAAAAGCGAAGAACTCAAAAGTAAATTATTGAAATACGAAAGCAGATCACTCACATGGCCGGATTTCGTTTATAAAATGTACGATGTGTCAGTCGCATGCGAGAAAATCAAAAAATTCCTTGCCACACTGAAAATCGGTGAGGAACACTAGTTTCTCTATTTTGTTTTGTTCATTATTTTGCATAGGATTGAATTGAGTTTCCATTATCGTTTCT